AATTTACTCACGCGGAAAATGTCAGGTACAATATCGATAACTCATGAGTTATGGTTTCAGATACACACAATAGGCTGTTCAGTGTCTCTGTGATATTGACAAACAAATTAGCTACAACGTTGATCAGTAAAAGATTCCCAAAAAAAAAGGGGGGGGGGGGGAGGTAGATTCATTCACCTTTTTTTGCGAATTATATATAGAACAGAGAAGTCGTAGTAGCCTCGTGGCTAATGCTTGCCTGACGCTCAATCAATTCAATTCAATTCGTAAGAAACAAAAATTCCAAAATTGTGACTTCTTTCAGCTGCCTGACGGATTGCTATATCGAAGTCGGTTCAATGGTGGTGTGATTTGTATTTATTCCTTGCGGCGATCATTTTCGCCTGAGTTTTCTTGCATTTGTTGCGTTCTTGTTAGCAGCGTGGGTTTGGCGGGCGGCTTGCAAGTTTAGGGAGTGGGCGTGGCTGTCCTGAGAAGGACAGCCACCTGTGCCGGGTGGCCTGGAACGGGATGGGTGGGGTATGGCTTCTGCAGCAGTCAGGTTCTGGTGGTGTCCGGATGGTCTTGCGCGGGTGGGTTTTCCGGTACGGTGAGCTGGGTCGGTGTCATGGCGGCTGTGGTCAGTTCTGGTTGGCTATTGGCTGCATGGTTTCGCTTAATTCCCTTCGAGCAGCGTTTAGAAGATTGAGGGCTATTCCTGCTTGATACATCATCCTTTTGTTTTTGTCTCGTTTGGCTCTGAGAGTTGCGGTTGGGAGTAATCGCTCCCTTGCGAGTTCTTCCTTGCAGAACTGTATTCTGTATTTGCCAACGCCCAGCTCGAGTCGATGGGGGTGCATCCGCTGGTTAAAATCATCGAGCATTTCTTGTAGGCTGACTTCTCTGTCCGCTATGTCCTTCAATGCAGCCTCGTGTACGGGATCGCAGTTCTGGTTCGTGGATTGTACAGCTTCCCGTTCCTCTTCTTCATCTCCTTGAGAATCTTCTTCTTCTGCTATGACTAGGATCCCTTCAGAGTCTTCTTCATTGGAATCATCATGTACTGGTTCGGTCATTTGTGCCTGATGCTTCGTTGTTTAGGTTGTCAGTGGAGACGCTTTTGTCGGCCTTGTTGGTATTCGGCTTTTTTTGTGGCATTTCTTTCTTTCTCCAGCAGGGGCTCTTTCTGTCTTAGCTGCTTGTGCTGCTGTTAGGCTTCTGCGGTGGCTTTCTCTAGTTTGGCGGCTTCGTGGCATGCGGCTTCCCGTGCGTTTGTAATCTCGGCCAGCTCCTTCCTTCTCTCCTCTCTCTCTGACTGGCGGCGTATTTCTTCTTCTGCTTGGGTTGCTCTGATGCTGGTGAGTAGCTCTCTGGTTTTTTTAATGTGTTCTGCGTCTTCTGACTGTCTGTTTGTTTGCTGGGTAGCGTATGCCAGCCTTTCTGCCTTTAGGTCCTTGATCTCTCCTAGCAATAGGGAAATCAGTTCCAGGGTCTCCGTTCTTTCAGCGGCGGCGGTGGTTCTTTCTTTCTGGAGCGCTGTGATTTGGCTTCTCAGTTCGTCGATTATTTGTGGTATATCGTTTTGAATGGTGGCGGAGCGTGCCTGATCGTTTCGTTTGTCTCTTTGTATGTTTCTTGGTGGTCTTGCCTCCGGCTGTCTGGGCGCCTGGCATGTATCTCTGGATGAGGCGGCTATCATTTCTCTCCTGCACTTCTTGAGGTATGGGCACCCCAGGTACCTCGCACTGTGTGAACCTGAGCAGTTGCTGCATTTCCGCTTTTTGTTAGGCTTTTTGAAGTCGCTATCGAGTTTCGCTAGCGGGCACTCCTTGAAGTCGTGGGCTCCCGAGCAGTACCCGACAAATAGGGCCACTGCGACAGGTTGCGGCGGTGTGCCACGCCCTGTTGCAGCGTGAGCACTGCATAATGTCTGTGGTGTGGGCTCCAGGCTGCTGCTTAGGTAAGCGGGTGCTTGTAGGTCCCTGCGCCACGACTGGGGCGGCTTTAGGTTGTGGCTCCACGATAGGGAGGCTTCAGGTGTCGGCGCCCTCGATAGGGGCGGCTTTCTGGTGTTGGTGCCACGATGGGGGCGGCTTCAGTTGTTGGCGTAGGTGTGCGAGGCGCCGCGATAGGGGCGCCTGCTGGTGAAGCTGCTGGTACGGCTCTCCTCTTCCTTGGTGTAGGTGCGGCTGTTTGTTGTTTTCCCATGATAGGAAAATCAATGGTGGCAATTGCGATCTGTGGCGAAAGCTAGGTCCCTTCGGAGTCGGCAAGGCTTGTTAGAGTATCCTAAAAAGGACACACAAGCGTGCTTTCTCCTTAGTTCTCTAGCAATCGTTCAAAATACTGGCTGGTATGACTGGCTCTACAACAATGATGTGCTCCCGGGCCGCTAATAACCCACCCGCAGACGAATAACAATAGCGTAGTCGAGCCAAAACTCAGCCGAATGTCAAGCGAGTTCTGACCAGTATCTAGCTATTGATAATCTGGCTACGAATGGATAGTTAGCAAGCTAACGAGAGACACACGTGGCTGTATCGGGCGGTATATCGAGCGAGCGAGAGAGAGCTGTGTGCGACTGGGCTGTCGGACTGCGAATGGGCTGATGTGATGAGTTGCCTGACGCTCAGAAAGTCTTGGCTTCAAATCCTCACTTGGCGGACTTTATTAAAAAAATGAATTCTTTAATTGATTTTATTTGTTTCATTTATAGTCTTCTTCTAATTTCTTCATTTTTTTTTTCGTTGTTTCTTTTTAGTCTGGCATCTTAGAATATCTGAGTCATTCAATATGGCGCCGTACCCAGAAGGAACGTTTGCTGTAAAGGATCTCTAACATTCTTTGTTTTCCGCTTTTGATGTACGCTCTCCCAGACTGCTGTTCATCCATCTCTTGATGTTTTCCTTCCACTTGCAACTCTATCTGCATCTTGCTCGATACACTTCAATTTTTCTGTTCAATATGGTTTTTATTATTTGTTATTGTGTGTGCGTGTGTGTGAGTGTGTGTGTGTGTGTGTGCGTGGATGTGTATGCGGGTGTGAGTGTATATTTAAGCGCGCGGGTGTGTTTGTGTGCGCAAGTGTCTGTGAGAGGGCGTTTCGTATCAGTGTTGGTCAATATGTATGTGTATACTTACGCATGTTTGCGCAGCGTGTAAGTGTGTGTATGCGTGTGTGTGTATATATATATATATATATATATATATATATATATATATATATATATATATATATATATATATATATATATAAATAATGCGCGGTGCGTCTTTTAATATGGCTGAAATATTTCACGTAAATTTTTTGTAGCAGCCTTCTGGACTTCTTTTGGATGTGGAAAACAGGAACAGTTGCCGGACGTGGCTTCACCAGGGCCCACAACTGCTTGCAGACAATGGAAGACAGTTCGCCTTTCACTTAGTTTTAGCGGTTAGGCTGGTGTGTTTAGCTTATGTTGTCTTATGTTTACCCTTGCTTAACTTCATGTTATCTGCACGGGTGAACAAAATATAGCTGCGGAAATTGGGTTAGAAGTGAAAAAAGTTGGTAGATTAAGGACATCGCCCAGTAAAACTTTATGCGGCTACGAGACCGCTTTCAGTTCAAGTGAATAGTAGTGATCAGCAATCAGCTGTTGCCCTCTAACCAGAGATGACAATTCAACTGTCACTATTATTACGCGGAGAAGCCGTGGTGTAGCGACTAGACGTTTGCTTGTTGAGCGGAAGGTCGTGGGTTCAGGTCCTAGTGGAGTGGAGCTTTTTCTCTCTAAAAGTGACCTTGGCTGCCATGTCGACCCAGCCAGGGTACAAGGTGAGGTCCTGGGAGGAAGTAAAGGCGTCCGGCGTAATGTTGAACAGCTGAACTGACCACTGACAGTGACCCCATCGCTCACCCAGATTGGACTATAAAATAGAGTAAATTCATAATTAATTTACATTTATGACTGATTGTTAAGCAATGGGTATTTTCTACCATGGGAGCCTCACTTACGTTTTCATTTTCTTCTTTTGTCTTAAAGTGCCACAGAGAGGTGAAGCTCCTGTTAACAGCATATTGCATTTCTGTAGTTTCTATTTTATTTCCTCTACCTATGTCTTTTTTGGTCTGCCTCTTACCATTTAGCCTGCTATTCTCAGGTTGTACACTCAAGCTGCTCGCTGATTTTCTCCCATTTTGACCACAAGACCAAACCATTTCATTGTTCATGTTCTGTAACATAATTTTTTGGCTCTCCTGTAAACAACGGCCGGTAGACAACAGTTGACAGCCGGTTAGTCGGAGTTCTGTCCCCTGGCTGCAGTGCAATTACGGACTGGCATGAAGGCACAAATCAAACAACAAAGTGAGGTCGAAATGTCTGGCAGAACCCGCGCTGCTACTCAAAGTAGCGACCGTGTTCAAAAACCCCTTCTTGCGACGCATTACGGAGTGGATTAGAGGGACGGACACAAGTGACATAGTTACTGTGTGTTGGCGATAGATAGCGTGCAGTGCCCTACTGTCATCGTACGGTTTGGGTTAGGGGTTGGGTTAGGGTTTGGGTTGCTACGTTGAGTTTCTGCGAAGACGAGATGCGGCGACACTAACCGCAACGCTAACCCAAACCCTAACCCTAACCGTAACTGTATGATTATAGCAGTGCAGTGCACGCTGTCTATTGCCAACACACAGTAATTGTGTCAATTGTTTCGTTCCCTCCTTTTCCATTCCATAATTGCACTGTAGCCAAGGGACAGAACTACGACTAACCGGCTGTCTACTGTTGTCTTAGTTGACAGGAGAGCCAATTTTTTTGATATTGTGTCTGCCTTTTTCTTAGTTCTTCATTGGTGACTATTATTTTGTAATTGAACAGATAAAACATAGTTATCAGAAGGAGCCTGTGAGACAGCACAATCGGCCACTCATGCGTCTCATAACAGTATATACATTTATTCTTCTGGAGTGCATGGGATGACAGAATAACAAGACGGCTAAGCTCAGCTTACGAGACATTTTTGCAGAAAGTGTCAACATGGGCAATGGAATGAATAAGGTTCGTTATGCATGCAGTCGTGATTGAACCTGTATTTTTGTATGGTCTTTGAAACTCTCCATGTAAAACCTCCCCCCCCCCCCCCCCCCCCCCCCCCCAAAAAAAAAAAAGCAGTGTTGTAAAAGTTGACTAATTAGGGGTGTTTTCTTTGAAGATGGCATGCTTCTAATAAGGAACCAATAGTGTACATACAAGGGGTCTCCATGGCGAAGTGGTCAAGCCATTTGCCTTACACTTGAAAGGTTGTGGGTTCATTTTATGGCAGCACCGTTCAGTTCACGAGTGCAATTTTTTATAGAGATCCCTGGGTGTGTCGTCGCAGGAACTACAGAGGTCATACTCTGTGTGACGCTTTTGGTAGGCAGCTGGCCATTCTGTAGAGTCTGAGCTGAATGGGATGAAACCCGGTGCAATGAAGTTCATCCTCTCACATTTACCTTTAGTGTGCATATAAATATGCGAAATTTGTCAAGTAGATGTGCACACAAATTTCAATATTTGGAACAAGACCAAAGTCCAGAAGTAGATGAGCACCACAACTTTCCTGCAGAGTTAACAGCCGTTGAATGCAGAGAAGAGGAGGAAAAGGTCTTTTTAAACATTACAAGTGGACTTTCAAGATGCCTTATAATGTGGCATTGACTTCATCTGTCCTACACATTGTGTCATGACTGCTGCTCCCTTTAACAGTGAATTCTTATTCTAGCAGGGAGCAGTTGGTGTTGACACTCTTTCAGCCACCTTATGCATTTAACACTCATGCGGGTTGCTGGTCTTGCCAGCACTACTACCTGTTTCACTTTTAAAATTAAGCAATGATGATCATTTTGCATGGTTTTTGCTAACACAAAAAAGAGAGAACTTACTGGTTTACCAAGTGTCATGAAATTGAAACTACAGCTAAGTAAAGAGTAACTGGGGTGGGGGATAAATAGAAGACCTACGGTTTCTGTAACAAGCATGTTAGAGAAGTCGACTAATTTGGGGAATGTCCTTAAAGTCGGAAGGCATCTGCCTGAGAGGCAGAAAACCAAAAGTCTGCATAAGATAACCCATATCTGTAAAAATATATGCATGCAAAACTCAAGTCTGGAACAAGACTAAGTCCAGAAATGGAAAAACGACCAGCATTTTCCTTTGGAGTTTAGAGTCATTGAACATAAAGATGCAAGACGAATAATTAGTAAATCCTTCAAAGTATAGAAGAAGCAAATAGACAGATCAGTAAATCCTGCATAAAATAGGAGGAACAACAAAGATAAATTTGTAAACCCTGCATGATACAAAAGGAACAACAAGGATAGATTAGCAAGTAATACATGATATAGGAGGAGTAAGTAAAAAAGTAAATGTCCCTTTTCCATGCCTCTAGGCGTATAGGGCATATAGGACTAGACCTATATTTTTATAGACCAATCGGCACAAGATGGGTGATGTGGTTAGCGTACTTCACAGGACTGCACCGGTACCCACTCAAGGCTGGGTCGAACTGGGAGCCAAGGTCATTTTTGAAAAAAGTCCGGCTTTGCCAGGGAGCAAACCCACGACCTTCCTATCCGCGGCAAGCGTCTAGCCGCTCCGCCACGGCGACTCCCATAGAAGGAGTGGCAAGGATAAATTAGTATACCTCACAAGTTATAGAAGGAACAAACAAGGATAGATTAGCAAGTCATACATGATATATGAGGAACACTAAGGACAGTTGAGGAAATTATATAAGATATATATTAACAATGATTGCAGATTTTGCCAAGCCTGTACATAGGGAATTTCCGTGACGCTAAAGATGAGAAACAACTGACAGAAAATAATATCACACACATTGTCTCTGTCCATGACAACGCTAAGAAAATCCTTGAGGTAAGCTTTCTATTGACCACTTAGTCTTTAATTGTATTCTTCATCTGCTTCTGTCCGACTCCTTTTGCCATAAAGCTTCAAAGAGAAGAGTTTATATAGTTTCCTGTCTTTTGCTAGTTGTGAAGCAGGTGTTAGTGACCCACTGGCTTTGTGTAGTGTCTCTTTTACTCCCTGCATCCATCTCTTTCTTGTGGATCTCTTGCCTTGTTGCCTGCTGTTCTCATGTAGTACACACTCTAGCTGCAGGCTGATTTTGTTCCATTCTGACCAGGTGAACAAACCATTTGATTCTTTGATGTTCTGTGAAATCACTTACTGTTGCTGTGCCTACCATTGTTCTCAGTTCTTCATTGGTGACTGTCTCTTCTTGTTTTTCTAGCCTGATTTTTTTATACATCTCATCTTTCATTATATTAAAAATATATATATATTCTAGACCACTTGGCACTTGATAGATGCTGTGGTCAAAATGACTTCCCAGGACTTTTCCTGTAACCTTTTAAGGCTGGGCCAGCCTAAAAGCTGAGGTTATGTTTAAAAATCCAGCTCATGGTGGTTCAAACACATAACTTTCAAATCCACAGACAGGCATCTAGCTGCTATACCATGATGGCTCCCTATTCATCCTCACAACATGGTCAAGAAATCTTTATTGTCTACATTTACTTCACTAAACAGTTTTCAGTTCTCCTGCATTTCTTCATCCCTACTTTATGTAATCAGTGCCAAATATGGACAGTGAACAGAGCACTAGAACTGAAAATAACTACATATGAAATGTGCTGTCTTTAAAATATCACTAACAACACAAGAAGAAACAGTGTGAGGAATACCAGCATTAGAGAGACAGTCAGAATAAAACCATGTCTGGATTATGTTTGCAGACAAAGAATGAAATGGTTCAGCCATCTAGCGAGAATGCAGCCAGACCAAACTGCATATGAGACGTTATTACAGCAGAACATCTGCGAAGAAGGCAAGGGGGAGACCAAGAAAGAAACGGGTAAATAATGTAGCAGAAACCTGCAAAAAGATAAACAAATCCATCACTCAAGCCACCCGAGAAGCGCAAGACACATACAGAAAATCACAACACTGGGCTACAACCTGGTATCAGGGATTCAACAAAAGAAGAAGAAGATGCATTTCTCTAAGAACTGCTGCATTGTTTCCATGTTCATCCAGGTAATTGTTGTGTATTTCACTGTCATGCCTATTGAACGTTCATGCCCAGAGTGGCCTTGATATCCTGTATCCACCATTCTATGTGTCTTCTTCTGCATGTTTTTCCTAGAACCATACCCTCCATTACCGTCCTCTGCACCTGATACCTGAAAACAGTGTTACGGCAGGGCAGATCACTCCCTTAGCGTTGGTTGGCAGCTGATCTAGGTTGGGAGCTCTGATAGGCAGGCAGACAGGTTACAGATGTTATGATCCAGCAGTTTCTGCAGTGCTTTGTTCTAAATGTATTTGTATTACCTTTCTTTTAGATCAGCAACGTGAGGGAAAAGGGTTGGGGGCAGGCAGAGAGAGAGAGAGATCATGGAGGATGTGGTCTCTACAGTTCCTCCCAGGCTTTATTCTTTGTGCTATCTAGATCTTTGTAAGCTGTGTGTATTTGTTTGTGCTCTTTTTTGGTCTGCCCTGGGATCTGAATTTAGCTTTTTGCTTCATATAATGTTACCATCACTAACTTGTCCATTTGGTTTGGTTTTGTTCTGCATGGACAGGACAAGGAGTATCTGTGCATTGTGGCCAGTGATTGTCCAGACCAAGACCTGATCAAGTTCTTCCCACAGATCAACAAGTTCATACACAAAGCCAGGCTGGAAGGGGGATCTGTGCTAGTTCACTGGTGGGTCTTTGCAGTTCTGTTTCAGCTTTGTCACTGTGACAGTGGCATTCACATATGTCGCAAATGTAATAATTTCACACATCACTCATACATGTCACAAATGTAATCCTTTTTACACATCACTCATACCTGTCACAAATGTAGCTCTTTCACACATTACTCATACATGTCACATCTGTAGTTCTTTCACACATCACTTATACATGTCACAAATGTAGTTCTTTCACAATTCACTCATACATGTCACAATGTAGTTTTTTCACACATTACTAATACATGTCACAACTATAGTTCTTTCACACATTACTCATACATGTCACAAATGTAATTCTTTCACACATCACTCATACATGCCACAAATGTAGTTCTTTCACACATCACTCCTACATGCCACAACTGTAGTTCTTTCACACATCACTCATACATGTCACAACTGTAGTTCTTTCACACATCACTCATACATGTCACAAATGTAGTTCTTTCACACATCACTCATACATGTCACAAATGTAGTTCTTTCACACATCACTTATACTTGTCACAACAGTAATTCTTTCACATTTCACTCATACATCTCCCAAACATAGTTCTTTCACACATCACTCATGCATGTCACAAAAGTAGTTCTTTCACACATTACTCATACATGTTACAACTGTAGTTCTCTCACACATTACTCATACATGTCACAGAAGTAGTTCTTTCACTAATCACTCATACATGTCACAGAAGTAGTTCTTTCACGCATCGCTAATACATGTCACAGATGTAGTTATTTCACGCATCGCTAATACATGTCACAGATGTAGTTCTTTCACATTTCACTCATACATGTCAGAAATATAGGCTTCTAATACTTCAGTTATACATGTCACATGTGTCACAAATGTATTCTTCTAATACTTCAGTTATACATGTCACATGTGTCACAAATGTAGGCTTCTAATACTTCAGTTATACATGTCACATGTGTCAGAAATGTAGGCTTCTAATACTTCAGTTATACATGTCACATGTGTCACAAATATAGGCTTCTAATACTTCAGTTATACATGTCACATGTGTCACAAATGTAGGCTTCTAATACTTCAGTTATACATGTCACATGTGTCAGAAATGGTCGTGATTTTCATGATTTTGTTTTCTCTTTTGAAAGTATAAGGTATAGGAAAATGTAAGGGAAATCATAATCATCATAACATAGCCAATGTATGATGAAAATGATCTTAAAAATGAACAGTGAACAATGAACTGTGAACAATGAACAGTGAACAATCATAACAGGAAAGCCAGTATAGTGTTAGATATACATATATTTTTTAGTCTGATTAGCACCCCTTGCCGTAACGTCAGACTGTCCAGTATCTTCTGTCTCGGCCACCCTCTGCCTTCTTTCCCCTCTAACCTTCTTATCTCAAAAAGATTGGAAATACATAAGATAGAAGGTTGTGGATGACGCGACTACCACAGTCATATAGCATGGGGTATAAGAAGAGGAGTTAGTACTTGATGGGCTGTGTGGTCAATGACATGCTGGCCTCCTTTACTTTCCAAGACATTACCTGGTACAGTGCAAAGATTAAACAGCATCAAAAGTCTCTGGTTAAGCACCGGCAGGGAAATCAATGTTAAAACTTTGAGAGCATGCATCTTCTCTGTAGTAACATAGGGATGTGAGTCATGGACTATCTCCCAGTCCTTGAGAAAGAAAATATGGGCTTTTGAGCTCAAATGCTATAGAAAGATTCTCAGAATACCACTGACAAAGAAGAGAAGAAATACTGACATTTTAACAGATCTGAATGTTAAAGAAGATTGGGTGATAAGCAGCATCTTGTCTCAGAAGCTGGAATATTTTGGTTGTATCAAGCGCCTTGGCAGATTGGACATAAATAATAGAAGGCATGGTATCAAGAAGGAGGGGTAGGGGCTGACCAACAGGAAGATGGTCACAAGACATAAGTGACTCCTTGACTATGAAAGTACAGGAGGCCAGAGAGCTAGTGAGAGACCAAGTTCCTTTCAGGCAGACTGTGATAAGAGCGACGTTCTGCAAAGTACTTGCATGTACTTACATGATGATGACTTAGTACCGTTTTCTGGCTGGGTTGACCTGGGAACCAAGGTAAATTTTGATAAGGGTTGGGGGGGGGGGGGATGCTGAATACAGATTTGATTTCTAAAAGACAAAATATTGATTAATTTAGCACGTAAAAATGTAATGAATGTAATATAAGTTTATGCAAATCAGTTCCAGCAGCTGGTTAGGAAAATTATGAAAGTACATTCTGCTGATATTTCTTCTTGTAACAGTTTGGCTGGTGTGTCCAGAAGTGTGACAGTAACAGCAGCATATATTATGACAGTGACGAACCTTGGCTGGCGTGACAGTCTCAACTGTATACGAGGGGCCCGGAGTGTGGCCAACCCTAACTTTGGCTTCCAGAAACAGTTGCAGAGTTATGAGAGTGAGCAGTTGGAGGAGGTATGTGATACAGCTTGATAGAAGAGACAGACATTGGATGTGGACTTGTGATTGTATGGACATCTTTTGTCACATTAAGCAGTGCATGTTGGCTGCAGGAACAACCATCAGATGTGGGGATCTGATTGTTGTCACAGGATTGTCTGTTGTCACATGATTGTCTGTTGTTACAATATTGCCTGTTGTAATATTAAGTGATATAGATTGACAGTTTGAGCAAACATTATATGTTGGCACCTGATTGTCTGTTCTCACAGCATTTTCTGTTTTCACAGGATTGTCTGTTCCCATGTGATTGTCTGTTGTCTCATGATTGTCTGTTTTTGCAGGATGATCTGTTGTCGTATTGAATTATGTAGATTTATAGTAGGAACTTTTCCTCTGAGGCTGATGCACTCCTTCTTTGAAGGAAACACCCTTAATTAGTTGCCTCCTAGGACATACTTGTTCGGGCAAGGAGGTCCATTCTCTGTGCTCAGAAATAAAACCCCAGAACCTTCACGGGGGAGATTACTGATTTAAGAATCATCATGGCATAGCGGGCATACCCATAGATGCAGCTGTTGTCAGGTGTAGATGCTATGACTGTTCTAGAAGCACACTGGCTATAAACATGTTGCACTTTTCCCCTGGTCCAGAGGTCTAGGGTTCAAATCCACATCCGGCCCCTTTTTTGCGAGTCAGAAATGACCTTGGCTCCCATTTGACCCAGTCTGAAATGGGTATCAGGTATTGACCTGTCTCTAGAGTCAAGCAACATATTCCCGATATGGAACTGGCCTAAAGTGTCCTCAGATTAAAAAACAATTTTTTTTTTTTAAATTACATCTTCTGTCCACATCTTCTCTTGCTTGAGCACACTTCATTCCATATCTTTTTTCTTCTTCTTTCGTTCGCATGAAATAAATTATCCCTATGAACAATCTATTCACCTCCACATAACTCAACTACCATCTTTCGAAATCGCAATTAAAATACCTAAAGAATCCTACTTCACATCCATAATATAATTAATCTAAATCATAAAAAAATATAATTAAAATTACATCGCCATATAAAAATAATATAACTTAAATCTCCCTATAAATCCAATAAAAATTCCATTAAATAAACTCTATCACTTTACACTTACTATCCCTCTCATTTTACCTATCTTCCAAAAATCTTATATATTAAAATCCATAAAATAATTTTATACATTATTACACATAAACATCCACATTTATTAAATTACTAATAATTTAACAAAATGTTTAAATATTTTCCCCCCTAATATTTATTACATCTATACTACTTTCCATAGTACTCAAAATCAACTATTACCCTAATCACTCCATTCTAATAATCCATACCTTTTTTTCTTACATATAATTAATAATGTCCCCTAACACAATAATCTATTCATCTTAAAATTATAAATAATTATTATATAAAATATTAATAATATATACCTTATTTTTAAAAATAAAATAGATTAATTTTTATGTAGTCATCCCGCCAATAGAATAATATTATAAAATTATACTATAGATAATTTTCTAATTTTTCTTTAGTTCTTAGTGTTATTTATTAAAAAAAAAAAATAAGATATTAGATATAAAAAAAAAATTAAAAAAAAAATAAAAAAAAAAAAAAAAATATAATATAAAAAAATAAGATAATCAATCCCCCCAATAAATAAAAAAAAAATCCAAAAAAAAATAAATAAAAAAAAAAACCACAAAATTTAAAGAATTAAAAAAATAAATTACAAATATAGTTTAAAATAATTAATCCCCCGCCCTGCCCCCCCGCCCCCCACCCCCTTAATAAATAATTAAATTATAAAAAAAAAAAAAATCCTCAAAAAAAAATAACAAAATTATCTTAAAAAACTAAAAAAAAAAAAATTTTATATTAATTGAGTATAGATATATAAAAAAATTATTAATCCTATAAAATAAAATAATTAAATATTTATTTTTAAAAATCAATATAATAAAAAAAAAAATAAAATAAAAAAAATAAATAAAAAACATAAAAAAAAACTATAAATATAAAAAAAAATAAAAACTACATCACTTTAAAAACAATAAAAATAAATAATATCGCTCTAAAAACCAAAAATTAATAATAAAAATTATCCCCAATAAAAATAATTAATAATTTATCTAAAAATCCCCCCCTCCCCAATCAAAAAAAAAAATAAAAAAGTATAAAAAAAAATTTAAATAAAAAACAATTTAAAAAAAAATAAAAAACAAATTAATCACCCCCCACCCCAAAAACATAATAAATTTAAATTATATAAAAAAAAAAAAAAAAATTATTAAATATATATCACCCCCCTAAAAATCCCCCCGCTCCCCCTAAATTAATTATAAATAATAAATAATTAATAAATGAAAAATAATAAAATAAGAATCCTAATTAAATAAAAAAAATCCCCCCCACCAGAATATCAAAAAAAATAAATTAAAATATAAAAAATATAAAAAATATATATATATATATTAAATATCTATATCCCCCAATAAATAATATAATTAATTAAAAAAAATTAATTATAAATATCCGCCTAAAAAATAAAAACAACCGCAATCTATAAAAAAAAACTAATATATAAATAAAATTTATAAATCCCACAAACTCAAACCAAAATATATCAAAATCAATATAAAAAATAAATAACAAAAAAAAAAAAAAAAAAAATCCCCCCCCTGCCAAAGCCAGTCTCTTCTAGTATGAATTTCACTGTCCTTTTTGTAATTCACTAAGCGGCCTGTAAAGTTGACTGTCCACAAGTGTCCCTCTTTTTGGCCAAAGGTTTTTGCCTGAAGCGTTAAATCTGGGACAGTCCTGAAGGATGTGATCTGTTGTTTCGGGTGCCAGTCCACAAGTACACATGGCTGATTGGCCAATCTTAAATTTGTTGTACATGGGTGGAGCGAAGGTCGATTGTGCCCTGTTCTAAGGCGAAGGGATAATGACTTGCTCTGGTCTGTCCATAATATGGTATCCTCTTGTGCCAGTTTCGTAGCGTTCTGATTGATTTGATCATGTCTCTTCTTCTGTTTATAGAGACTGGTGTGTCCGGTTGTTCTTCCAGTTGGCAACCTTCCTTATCTAGTTTTAATATCATACTTTTTCGTTTCCTCCTTCCGGAACTCCTACAGTAAGAAGGTATCCACTGCATTACTATTTTACAGAGCGGTTGCCTAGTTCGGATAATAGTGTCCGTATGCTTGGTAATTTTTCCAGACTGGAGTGACTGAATACTGCTTTTGCATCTGTCAATACACTGGTTGTGTAAAAGATACCCTGTATTTAGTAGTTTCTCTACCGCTATCTTGGATGGCTTGACTTCTGCATCATAGTTTGTGCAGTACTTTCCCCGTTGTTAATTTTGGCTGTATCACCTGGTATAAATGTTAGGATACTCAATGTACCACTCCTGCACCTCCGTTTTCTGACTGCGCTTTTCTGCTGACCCATCTGTGTAAAACACGGCCCAAGTTCTCGGGTATTTCAGTCATCAAGTAGACTTAGGGTGGCTGTTTTGGCGCTGCACACTGTTTTGTTCTCTTCTTGTCAAAAACCCCCTTTCATTCAGTCTTGATGTGTATTTGGAAACTTTATACCCTCTCTCCAGGGGTCCCGTTTCTGGGGCAACATTTAAGATCTATCATGTTGCAGGTAAAATCACGTGCTTTGTCTGCCGGCCGTTTGGCCTGGTGGATAAGCTTACTTCTCCTTTAGGTCCGTCCCAAAGCTAAATTTTTTTGAATCTGTTTCATTCATGAGGTGTGACTGGGCATCTAAGAAACATTTCTGCTTGTAAAAGCACTTGGTGTCTCTGCACACGTTCACTCAGTGCTTGGGTCATCCACCATTTTCTCCATCACAGCTATAGGTGTTGATTTTCATACTGCCACTGCCTGTGGTAACTCTGAGTGCTTGATTTTGCACTTTGTCTAATTCTATTGCCCCCCCAATGTGGTTTTTTGATGCCTAACTTCCATTCTGTTGATCCGTATTCAAGATGTGCGAGGTGGGGGTGGGTGAACACTTTGTTGTGTAAAACTTTTCAAGTATTTTCCCTCTAGCAAAACATGTGGTTTCCACTTAGTTTTTCTCAGAATGGCTACTACTTACTCGAGGTGATGTTACTTATGTTGTTCTGCCTTGTTGAATGTGTTTTCCTCCATGTTTAATCGAGCAATCAAATAGTTACTCCGAGGTATGTGGGCTTACTTATCCTATCTCAGGGTACTACCATTTATGTTGTATTAACGCCTGATTTTTGTTTAGGAGAAAGGGTAAAGAGGGTGGTGCTGCTTTGCCTATGTTTGATGCTGACACAAAAACCATTTGTTTCGGCCCAACAGCCATTGCATCTAATGGCTCTTTGTAGCAGTCTGGTGGCCACTGTCCATTTTCGCATTTTGTACACCAGAAGTACCAAGTCCTCAGCATACATTGCAGCTTTAATTCCATGGGGTAGTTCAGAAAGAGGTCGTTGATATAGACTATGAAGAGTGTGGTGGACAGGACCCTCCTTGTGGGACGCCAGGGCGCAGCAAAACTATTCTTTACTCTTAAGTCCATCTATCTGTACTCGGGATCTGTCTTTTACAAGTATCTTTCAAACCCATTTGTACTACTTCCATTCCACCCTGCATTCTCTCAGTTTTTCTTTCCGTAGACCTTCTTTCCAGACCTTGTCAAGAGGCTTTTCTTCAGATCTACCATGCCGTTAAGCACTAGCTTCTTTTCTGGAAGGTCATCCTCAATTCTTGTGAAAGGTAAGTTGTCTGGTCTTCTGTGGAGTAGCACTGTCTAAATCCTGCCTGCCATTCCATATGTCTGCTACCTTGTACATACCTTCTGGATTTTTTTTTCTTTGCTTGGAAATTAAATAAATATCTATATCTGAAGTGCTGCCTCTAGTATGAACTTCACTGTCTTTTGTAATTTACTTAGCAGCCTGTAAAGTTTGGCTTCCACCAGTCTCTCTCTTGGCCA